TTGAACAAGAAAACTTGGAAAAGTGATGAGAATCAGAGATATCATCGCTACTATACACGCACATGCACACGACGTTACGCACACGCAGGCATTCAACACCCCGAGTAACCGATTGTAACCAATCATCGGTTACTTGGGTCCAACCGATGATCGATTACGAAATTACAACCGATTGATAACACTACTGAGTGGACCACAGTTACTTGCTCAATGTTGGCGATTCCTTCCAGCTGTATCTCGTATCTGCAAAATGTCTGTCTTGCTCTTAACTAAGAATTGATCTATCTCTCTGAGTGAGGTACTCGTGACCCATGTCCTCTTGGTTATTCTTGCTGGTTCGATCATGCTAGATCAGTTTATGCATGTTATTCACACGTGCACACTAGACGTCATGCAGCCGTCATCGCGCGACTGCGCGGAAAACGCCGCGTAGCGGCCACCAATACAAATAACCTGCACTATCCTGAACACTTTCTCGAGTCCCTTTAGGGTATAGGGGAAACGGCCGGGAAATCGTCCAGCGAGAGTTCTGTTCATAGCACGACGGTTTTGACTACCCATGCACGTAGCTCGAGATTTGCTGCAAATGAACCAGAAAGTAGTTTGGCTAATGGGCGCGCGTCCTATATCCGTCAAAAACGAAGTTTTAACGTTTTCCAGCGAGACACGCCCACGGCAACTGCCAATCACCGCGCGCGCACGCCTAGCATAGGACAGCTTTGTTGCTGGGGAAATTCTGTGTGATTATTCCCGTACTCTAAACCCGGCCACGCCGTACCAGGCTTTCATTTTTAAGGGGCGCGATCGCGCTCCACCGCGCACCCGAAATTGTGCCATGGTCCGTTCATCATAGCGCCTCATAAAAGTGGTTGAAATCGCTCACAAAAACTATGTGTATTATGTTGAAATAGCGCTCCATAGAGTTGTCAATGTAGGGGGGTACAAAAAGGTTAGCAACACACAACAATTTGTGGTGTGTAGTGTAAGTAACTGAACGTATGGCAGGTTACTACCCTCTGGTTTATACAACTAGACAACAGCATCCAAATACAGGTACCTACACGGTAGCCACAAGTTACCTGCTCGTTTTCCACTATACGTGGCGAGAAGTGGTTTTCTGCCGACGTGAAACAGTCATAGGGCTGGAGGGGGGCTACATACGTACAAGTAATTTGGCTAGTTTGTTGATGTATTGTGATGATATTTCGTGCTGAAATATGCAGGTATATGCATTAGAGTCTCTAAGGATGAAGATCAGAATAAATAAAACAAGTTTATTTTTACATCCGATCAACTTTTTTATTAATCTGTGTGCTAGTGTTGGGTTGTTGGATGAAAAGAATGTAATCATGATGAAGCCATTGAATGAATGAAGGTGAAGATGAATGATAATCAGTGGATTGACATGACATCCCAATTTTCGTTTTGGATTTCACTCTAGACTGAGGATTGGTCATGATTCCATCATCACACCCCAAGAGGCATGATGGAGAGCTCTCAAGGAGCTTTCCATCATCCCTTTTAAGGATGTGATCCATCATGCCTCTTAAGGGTGTGATTTTTTAGTGGAGCTCTCCATCATGCCTCTTAAGGGTGTGATTTTTTAGTGGAGCTCTCCATCATGCCTCTTAAGGGTGTGATTATGGAGCGTGAAAAGACTTCCTATGGTGTCCTAGGGGAGTCATTAGTAGTCCTTCTGTACTTTTCAAATCTGACTGCCTGCTGGGGGGTCCGGACCCCCTGGACCCCCCCCCCCTGTACACGCCCCTGCATTGGTTGTGTGTGGTGCTAATGCCACTACTGTCACTAGCTATATGTCAAGCTACAAGCTTTTCATGCGAAGCACCTACCCATGTATATCAGGGGTCAATAATGACGAAATAATGAATAAATGTCATTATTAACCCCTGATGCAGTGTTTCTCCTGCATTGACACGAGCGAGGTGGGCCGCCTCGCTCAAATTCTCAGCCGCCACACAGAAATTTGTCCAAAACACCGCCTCGCTGACGAAAATCAATGTTCTTCCATAGAACTGTGCTTATAATGCACCAAATTGCACCATTTTTTCAAAAAAATTTCGGGGGGGGGGAGGAGGCATGCCCCCGGAACCCCCTAGCTGGCCGAGCACCACAGGTGCTCGCTTTGCTAGGACTTCGAAATGCGCAAACACACCAAAAAAAATTTACCACTTCACAGACTTTTTTGGCCAGATGTATATATATGCTATACAGTCCCTGTCATCCTCACACACCTGATGTATGGAATTTCGCTCTCTTTTTTGGGTAAATGCTGGTATACTTGCTCCCATATACCTGTCACCGCCTGCTGTTCCCTCACGCTTGCTGCATACTGTAACAACCATGATGGGTTGTCGGCCCCCGCTTCCCACGTATGCCCCTGTTTGCTATGTAATTATGCAGGTTTTCGATCAATCGGCTAGATTAGCAGATTAAAATTAAGTGCTTGCACTTGGTGTTGCATATTGAGGGGGTTTGTCAGATGCGTGAGATATAGTGTAGAGAGACGGTATCATTAGGTGCTCTAGACACTGACCAAAAACTATATTGTACACACACACAAAATTTCCAAAATAAATGTTGTAAAAAATATGCTTGCTAATATATATTATTATTTATAATTTGTGTATTTTTTTATTGTGATTTGTTTCGTCAGCTAGGGAATTTGGCTGGACAGCTAATCGGACATGGAAAATGAAGCTCATCAGATATTTTACATTGACTTATCATTAAATCTATCTTTTTGATCTAAAATCTCTTAAACAAATTATGTATCGACGATTCTTTTGCAGTTGTTATCGACGCGACCTTAAGGCCCTGTGAATCTGACATGGCTCCCCCTCACGAAACAGACGTATCTGTATCATCGAATGGTATCGGCACTTTGCCCATAGCTGAGAAGGAATACAAAGTGGAGATTCGGTGGAGGAATGTCGTGCTGATGGGACTGCTTCACCTGAGCATACCGTATTCACTGTATCTCTCCATATACCACGTGCAGTACCGGACGTTGTTTTGGGGTGAGTGTAGATTCGAGTGTTTACCGATTACAGTGCTGGGTGGTAGTGATGTCACGATAATCGATTATACTCGATCATCGGTTGAACAGTGGCTCGAACCAAGCGCTTGGTTATCAAAATCCATAATTGATTTCATCGAAATAAATGTCAAACTTGAACAAGAAATGTCTGAGAGTAAATTGTTCGACACATATTGCAATGAACAACACCAGAACACTACTATACAACTTATCCTTTATTAACATACATGTATTATACACACAGTAGTAAACAGTGCAAAACACTTAGTAAACAGGGCTAAACAAGCACATACATGCACACACGTACACAGGGGCGTGTACAGAATTTGTAGCAGGGGGGGGGGGTCTAACCGTAACCCAAACTTGCGAGCACGCGAAGGGGGAGTCTGGGGGGCCCTGCCCCAGAAAATTTTTGAAATTAGACCCCCCTCAAATGCGTTTTCTGCGCGAGCAAGGGGGGTCCGGTACCCCTGGCCCCCCCCCCCCCCCGTACATGCCCCTGGTACATGCACACGAC